TAGCTAGCCACTTAAACGTTAAGCCGATAAACTAACAAACAAACCATTCAAAACACCAATCTACCAACAAATCAATAAGGAGACTTTAAATATTGAACAACCATTCAAACTATCAGCCCACAAACCAGGCAGAAAACAACCAACTATATGAACTACCTATTATCCAGCCAACCAACTAATCTACCAACCAAACTCCCAAAATACCAAACCAATTCAAACAACCAAACGTCACAAACGAACCACCGTATAATCTTAAATGATTTCCATCAAATTTACATCATTTTGGACACTTACATAATATTTATATCAAATTTACAACCTTTAAAGTGCGCGATTTTTTTTCCAGTGTTAAGCTTGCTTACTAACCACTTTCCCGACCAGCACGCAACCAACCAAATAAACGAACGATCATGCAAATGTCTGTCTGTCAACCTACAAATTTTTCTCTTTCTCTTTTGCCTCAGTCRTCCTGTCTTCTCAGTGCCTCTWGTGTCCTMTGTTCYTAGATGCWTTGTCGATGAWCTAGCTAATGTTTTGTTTCAATCTTTCAGGCCTTAAARCAAGATTTGTTCATTCTCTCTATTCATTCAAGGTGGACTGAAAACACCAGATGCAATAATTTATGCTGCAGAAACTGAATCCCTGATCGTTGTWTGAAACACAGAGGGATTTCAAAATTTTATCCAGATTATGAATACARTATATTAATATATTATCGTATAATTTATTGAGAAGTAAAATATTTATGTCCAAAAAGGGCTGACACCTGAAATTAGTGCGTTGTTGTTTCTTTTGATTAGTTAATTTCAAACAATAAACAAACAACCTTCTTCTTCCCCAACAAACACAGCCTCTCACACAACCACCAGGTAACCCTTAATCTAGCAATCTCGTTTTCAAAGCAATATTTTGTACGTACTACGCGTGGTCTGGATCTGGGCTTCCTGGAATCATGCAATCCGGTTCATGCATTTAGCTATGGATTCACATTCATTGAATGCTCCGTCCATAGCTAGTTATCCGTCTTTTTTTAACTATTTGCAATCAGTTTATTTATTTATTCATTAAACTTCAATTAATCATCACTTATCTTTTATCATTCCTTACATTAAAATACGCAAATTATCAACATGCATATTATTTTATKGTATATATTTATTGATTTATCTGTCTTATTTATTCGTCATTTATCCCATTCAGTCCTCCAACCATTTCCATTTTACTTATTAGTTGTGAAGACTTGACAATGTTCAAACTACAATTGCATTTTATTGGTACAAATAGGTACAACTGATTATCAAAACGTTGTTGTTTAAACATAGTAAAAATGTAAAATGTAAGATAAATGCTGACTATCACTGTATAAATATCTCTAATAATATATTATATATGTATATATGTACTTAAATATATCTAATCTAGGCAATATTCCTTGGAATTGCGGATAAAAGCAAACTTGGCTTCAAATTTTATATGTAGAAACTATACATGAAGGAAATAGGAATCTAGCCATTCGTCGGTTGTTTAAAAAGTAATATCTATATCTATATATGTTTTGTATAAACGGTCATCTTTGCCATCATCTGTGGACTGGAACGACTTGAAACAAAGATCTAGAAGCTGAAAAGATGAATACCATCATTAGTAACAATGCGATTAACTTTTACGAATAAAAAAAATTAGTATAGGAAATGGTCGTGCAGGTGGATTTAGATTTTAGGTACACTCAAGTGAATTTGTCCGCTGGATAAGGATTTATCCAGAGGTGGATAGTGATTTTTAGAATACTTTGTGCAATTGGGTTAAATTCAGGTATTTCTGTGTATAGCAAATACACATTGATATCAAAAATATGGCGTTTTTGATACAAAAATTGAAAAACTAATTGCATTGAAAAAATGTGAAATGCGCTTAAAAGAGATGTAGAAAAAATGCTGCATGCAAGGGGAATGTCGATAAAGAGTATACATATACTCACTGCTGTATGAAAGAATGTCCATAACTGGCGTTGAAGGCCGATTGTCATCAAGACGAGACCGTGACCCTGTTCGATTACGTGACTTTGGTCGATCGCTGCGTGGAGTATCATATCCCGATCCTCCAGACGATTTGCGTGACCGTCGCTCACGATGAGGTGATCCGCTGCGTGACATTTTACTGTTTGATATAGATCCATTGCGTGATCTTCCTCTAGTCGGTGACGAATTGCGTGATCTYACAGGAGAGGAAGAGCGTGACGCCTGTCGTGACGATGGTCTTGATCTAGAGTCGTACAGGGTGCAAGAGGTAGCAGGATGCGATCGACTAAGACTTGGCGTGACGGGCCTCGGGTGGAGACTTCGGCGTCTTTTAGCCGAAGCAGTCGATGTGAGACTCAGTGACGACGCAGACATGTTMGTTCCATACTGCTTAGCGAGATTCCCAGACATGCCCGGCGAGCGATCCCTCGGGCTTATTGAYCCTCCACGACTCGATCGGCTWGTAAGYCTGGACCGAGRTTGACCTTTTCCTCCTGTCAAGTCACGCAAGTCCTTGTCTTGGCGTGACAGACGACGGGCGATTTCTTGGAATTCYGGTGGTAAGTGACTGTAAGCTTCTACGCCATGTGTGTCCGTTCGTGGYTCGACGTGTTTATATTGATTTATTCGACCATTATTGACCTGAAGACATTAAAAAACATCATGTCAATATGTYAGATTATGTCAACGCAGACGCGCGCAAACGTGAGACGCAAGYATAAAGCGCAAGCCGTACAARAGAYRCTTTAAATCGATTTGAAGCCTGCTTCGATACATTTCAAGTCAGAATGCAATAATGCAAACAATCGCTAAAAGATCGATAAGAAGTAACACGGCGCACGCAAGTGACCAGACGTCATCGAGTCAGTTTCGTAACATTTGTAGAAAACGCAAACATTAACACAGTCGACGTAAGCGCAATACAAGATATATCAAGCAAGATGCTATGAAAAACGTAAGCAAGTTCTGTGTAAGTGTGCTTACGTTAAAATATATCGTTATGCAAGCGAGAGATAGGCGGAATAACAAGTTGTGATATTGAAGCAATATTTAAAAACAGCATACTGACCTTTTTACTGCCTCCACCCGGTACGTGGTTGATGTTACGAAACGAATCCACCTTGGATGTAGTTTTTGAATAATCGACCTTYTTGTTTATTATTCTTACCTTGCCACCACCTGAAAAAAGTCATACATATAGTTCAATCAATGATATGCAATAGTATGCAGCATTATTTGGTCAACTTGGCGAAAGTTAAGATTCTAATAGACTTCTGAAGGTTAAAATTACGCCACCTACTTGATTTGCAATGCGTTTTGGGATCAGTTTGTGGAGAAAACAAAAGAAATCCACCATGTTTTATCACAAACATGTGCTACAATGCGTTGCATGTATGGTATTATTACATAGCTTAAGAAGTCTATTAGATCAATAATTTGTAATTAACGTAGTGTTTACGATCTCACAACTTGTTTACCTTTTTTATCATTTGATCCTACTTTAGATTTTACGTTCTTTACGTCGTGAATTTTCTTTGGYCCATTTTGAGTCTTGAGCTGTTGAAATCATCACAATGAAGGGTTAAATCAAAATGGTTCAAAATAATTTGCTTAGTATAGAGATGCAGCACTCAAGAATACAAGTTACTCAGCATTGTAGCTCTCGTAGTTGAGAAATAGAACGCAAACCGTCAAAAAATAGCCGTTCACAGTCTGGAGGGCGTTGGCGCTCCAGCCTCAATGTCTTATAAACAAAAGCCTCACTCGGGTAGGGCTGCGAGTCTTAAGTCTTAATTTCAAGTGCTTTAAAGGGATTTTATATGTCTTACCCGTCCGTTTTGCATTGGAGGTCCTTTACCCTTTGGTGCAGACTTGACGTGACCATTCACCATTCCATTCACGTGACCATTATGTCCATTATGGCCGTTAGTTTGGACGAGAGCTAAGATAATATCGAAAATATTAGCACACTAATATAGATTGATAACAGTTATCAAATTAGTTATTAATAACAAAATTAAAATATAGGATGANCTGAGGTCAGATAAAGCAACGTCCAAGTCATTATAGTCGCCGTTTTGTAGCGTTTTATTTTGCTGGTTTACATAGTGAAGAGTTAGATCGTATCGGCTTAGACTCTCCAGAACATTAATGTCTTCTCCTTTATTTTGMTGCAGTGAGCGACTAGCCATCCCAGCCGCATGCTCGTTTGCTCGTACACCGCTGTTTGCATTAGCCGCAGTCTCATGATTATCTTTTTTGGCCGTAGTAAGWGTCGATTTGGCTTTATAATATTCACTAGTTTCTTGAACCATCTTATCTGAAGTATGGATAGGCGAATAATCTCTTTCTGATTTCTGCTTTGAGTCTGTTGTACTGAAGTCTTCTTGTCTTTCRAGACCTCGAGTCGAAGTATTCCGTATTGGAGAGTAATCCCTTTCTCTGCTGTCCACCATTTTACGGACATCAATATCCTCCAAACTATCTGAACTTCTTCGCGCTTTTCTCGATTTCCTTCCCGATACATCTGATATATCCAAATTCTCCATACTTTCGAGTAATCTTGATGTTCCAAAGTTCAAGTCATCGCCTTCCAGTTTGAGTCGACTGTCGTCCAAAGACTGCGTATCTTTTAGCGAGGAGTTCATGCTGTCATTCAGGCTGTCCATAGACTTGTCTCCTAATATGGAGCTCGAGTTTTGTTGAGTTTCTAAAGCTTTTTGTAATTTCTTCTTTGGAGACGTTAAAGCAATATGGCTRTCATACATTTTAACATTTCCTCCCATGGAATATTCAAACTTAGCATATTTACTGTATTCATCTGGAGATGAGGCGTCGTAGAAGTATGGCAATTCCTCCTGAATCTTGACTTCTTCGAAGGTTGGCAAGAAACTTGTTTCGTCCGAATAGAAAAGTTCGCTTGGGATAATGACTTTTTGCTTTTCTTTGTGTTTCCTAAAAAAAAAAAAAACAATACGGCAATGAGAATTGGTAGCTATGAAAAGTAATGGAAAAACTGTACTTTATTCATAACATAGTAGAACGCGTTTTGGTCTACCAGACCTTCCGAAATTTGTCAAATTCCAACACTACAATGTCTACGACTTTCTCTTTATGTTCTCTAGATCTAATGAGAAATATTTCATTCGTTTTTTCATAAATACATCCAMAGCTCTCTGTACGCACACAATTATCATTCCACAGTCACCAGCAACCAACCAACTTYGTTCATATTATGTGTATTTTTAGCTCAGCATCCGTTTTCAGTGTCTTTTTATTGCCTTTCGCGAGCAAAAGAATAATTCCAGCAGTCATCTCAAACTATGATGTTGTCCTTAGGTCATGTGATTTTAGATGTCTATAGCATAAGTCATATCACAGTTTCTGACATTTTTTTAATTGACACATTCAAATCTACATATGTAATCGATACCTTTTGAAAGAAAGGGAAGAAAACAGGAGAAAGGAGTAATAAAAGAGAAATTCTTCTTCTTGAATTGCTACGTTTTGCTTTGCCTTTTTTACTTACAAACTCGAGATGTTCTCATTATACATGTCTTCAACCGTTTTGAAATAGTCAGTACAATTAAAATACTTATTCAAATTGATTCATTTTAGCGAACGTCTGCCGATGTCCATTTTAAACCTTTCTGAAATTCAAAAGAAGAAATGAATAATGAAAATTCGTGAAAATGCAAAACGCTATCTAATAAATGCGACAATRCGTTAAGTCTTTCGTCTGAAGGTTATAGACTTTATAAATCCAGTTATTAAGAGAGAAAAGCTGATATTCCATCTGAATTCAACRTAAACAACGTGTGATTAACAAAATTTCTACGAATCAACTAGCAAGATAAAATGCTTAAAAATGTCGATGCTGGCAGAGCCTATTAGGAGCTTTTTTCACGCTGCGTTTAAACGTTAAAGATATTTGAATAAAATTGACTAAAAAAGAGACATTTTTGAATGAATAAGCTACTTATTGTAAATTTACCTTTCTGAATATCTCTCTTTTCTTTTTTAAATCGRTTCCATTGACTTCCAAAATCACTTAACGTTAAGGTATTATCTACTCTTTACATTCAAACTTTTGTATTTTTAGCTTAACGTCAGTCCCGATCGATAGACCCTTGTGGCGAAGCGTTTTGGATGCTAAAGCTAGCCAAACAGGTGGATTGTCATTTAAGGTAAATACGTGGTCGCCTGGCCTTGCYGTTGCTAGGTAACCATGTAGGGTTCGATTTCATGACCTATCATCTAATCTATATTTGGTAAATTACATAGTATATGATATCAAGAATTGATGGAACATTTGAATATTGAATTCATTAAACTAGTGGCAATTCTAAAGGAGTAAAATGAATATGTTGGCAACCGTTCCAAAATTTAAGGTGGCTCACTGCACTTCTTTTTGAAACACCGCGAACGTTCATACATATTTGTTTTGCAAGGTAGTTTCTGCTCTGAAGGATATCCAATTTTTTTCGTCATTAGATCAACTTTTACTGATCAATCTTATTGCGGTATTATTTTAGCTAATATCGCGATGATGTTTACTTGGAATTGTATGATCAAAATTGAAGAAAGCATTCCTTTTGTGGGAAAAAATCATATATTTAATCAAGCGCATATTGCACCTCAGTGCACGTTATGACCAGCACACACTTATTAGCAGATCTGCTGGGAAGAAATCTAAACTGCACTGAATGTTTAGCTTGAATTTTTTAACGAAACATGAACTTGATTGCAATAGTCAGTCTGTTGTAACCGCTCGTGATKTGATTCAGAAGGGTCCTGCGCTGAATTGCGACACAAATCAACTTTAWCAGATTTATTGTCAGGTCGCAATTTGAAGAAAATGCTATTTTATTCAACTTCTGCAGGGAAGAACGACTAAGATATATCCACACAAGGGCGGCCCAAGTCACGGTTGTACAAAGGATAGTTAAAGTTATCCACTGGTCTTCGARAGTTCCGTTCCAATGTATATGGATTTTATCTGTTGGATAAGGATTTATCCGGTGGATAACCCTTYGTACAACCGGAACAAGCTCTTTCAATGATTTTGAGTATTAAACTAGAACATTGTGAACTCATGAGATACATTTGGGAGTAGCTGAATTCACATCGACCGCCAAGTTCAGCCGCAAAATCATCTGTAAATATATATGGTAGGGCCACGAGAATTTAAGCTAAGCCACCAGAAGAATTCAATAACCTAAATGAGGAGTATCAATTACTATTTAAAGTTAATGAGTTTTAAAAAGATTATCTAAAACACAGTTCCACGTCTTGTTTTTTTTTTGTAATTTAAAAATTCACAAAATCCAATTTGTGGTCGTTCTGAAGTGCGTTTTGCGGTAATGGAAAGGCCTTAGAGAGTGATGAACCAACTGGTTGGTCTGTCTGCACGTGCTTTGAAAAGTCTAAAAAGCCGGGTGGTTATGTTGTTACGAACCAGTCTTATTGTGAATAGTATTAGCTAGCAATATCGTTAACTGCTCATGATACTTTAAATCAATTTTGAATTTTTTTGATTTTCCAAATAGAAATATAAAGATTAAAGAATTCATCGTTTGATTTGGTAATCCCGACCGTTAGGGCGGTATCACAAAGACCCTGTTATAGTTAGCATCAATTCCAGCCTTTTAACAATTGAAATTGTTATTTCAAMATCTAACGTAGTTTATATTACATTCAATTAATCTTGTCTCTATTTAAAAGCTACATAGTGGATAGAAAAAGCTTGCTTTTCAGTGGAATTTATTGCAAGTTGTGTTGCAACGAAAAACACTTGAACAATCTATGGGTGTAGTCTGCTTGACATATACACGGAACGTATCAAAACTATCACTTCGATTCCGCCACTTATAAAATGCATTAAAAAGATTGCATTGTTACAATTTGTTTGACGAGAAAAYTTTCCTTTTGGAAGTATAACTARGAGACCTTTCAAAAATACTGATCTCTTGTAAGCAAATTAAAGAGCGTGAATTTGCTATCAACAAACATTGCGCTCAACAAATCAAATTTCCAAAAAGTATTTAACTGCAAGGATATTGAATGCACTTGGAAACATTTATAAAGGAGATAGTTTTTTTTCTTAATTCATCTTGTAAGTTACTATTCAAGAGCAGAAAACGCGAAAAAACATGAGCTGTACTAGTACATTCTTTCGTAAATACGTAAGAAAAGAAAAATAAAATAAAATCCATTTTGTAAACACTGTGCTTAAATCTGCGGGAAAATTGGTAGATAGGATTTTTTTTATGAATACTTATGTAAGTATTTCAAGTTTAAAACTGGGTGAATTTTATTCGCAGCTTTTACTTCACTGAGCTCACGACAATTGAATCGAAATCACCGCATCAATGAAATGGTATCAACTCAAGCGTACAAATAACCACTAAAACGTCCAAAATTTGTTCAACCTTTTAGGCCGGTTTACCTTCGCATTTTCCGAAGTTTTTTCTTCTCCCTCCAAGTTTCCCTCAAAGCGTACATCCTACGTTGATAACAAAAAACAACAATAAGCTGCGGCCATTCAATCGTAGAAAATCCAAACTTGAATTTGAACCAAGTYCATGCTTCATATACTTGCCCTAGAGCGCTCCACATTTCTAAGTCCTTGTTAATTTCACGAGGTCTTCAGCAAAACCAAGAGCCCAGACGTACATTCAGATGTAAAATTGGCGGTAAAATTGAGAAAAATTCCCCTCTCGAGCGACAATAGGGTACGTGGCGTATAGAAATCGCCAAAGACGAATTCGAGAAAACAAAAGTCAAGGGAGCAGGTAGGAGCGGGTATATTAGGGAAGCCACCAGCTTTGTTTTGCTTCATTMGGGTAAGGTTTCTCGACCGTCAGGTCAAAACAACGCTAGCTTGTTTGTTTGTTTGTTTTCGCCTGCTTTGGTTCTGAGTTTAATGGGTTGACTATCTACTGTCAATCTATCCATGTCCACTGTGAACAGCTTTTGGCATATAATTGTGTGTCTACAGGTGATCATGTGTGCAAAATCTATCCGCCCAGATGTAAAGATATGACTTCATCAAAAMYGCTGCTTACTAAAAGTACTGAAATATTGTAAACTGATGTTTTTACAGCCAAAAATCATAKCTTGGCAACTTTAAGAAAATTSTCTTTTGAACGCATCTGCGAGGTTCGTTTAGGTTTAAAAGAAAGTTCCACTGCTGTTCTTTCAAAAGAACATTCGGTCACCTGTTTAGTTGGTACCAGAACCATCACATCAGATTCGTTGAGTTTTCACCGCGCAATACGAAACCCAAMGAAACAAAGCATCTCGGTTAATGGACATGRTAGCGAGGCTTAAGACCCTCTTACCCACCCTCCCCTCCCCCTACTTATTTTTTTTTTTCAAAACACAATTGAATGCCAAGCTCGATTATTTATGCTCTCTTGATAATAAACATATTCCTATTCCCTTACAACACAACATGATCAGATTGGACAGTCCCTTCCACTTCAGAGGTTGCAGAATTCTTGGAAATATTGATTCCGGGTTTTTAAAAAAACAAGTGAAAATGCCGAGTTTTATCTCTTTGTCGTGAAGGTCATGTACATCAGATAAAGGATTTGGTAGAGTAAATTATAAAAGATATCTTAAGTGAAAACTTACATTCTAAAAGCCAACAGCACTTGATTTCTTGATCACTTCATTCTCGAACAGAAAACCAATATTTTTTAAACCTCGCGCCAATTTTGAGAATGAGAACTAGTGTCCAGGGTCCACTCGTTAAACCTTTATCAAAGTCCCGTATCAAGGAAAAATGGCGGACGATTTGTACTTAGCAACTAAGTTTTTCAAATAGAAAGAATATTCTCTGAATTTCTTTCCTTGTTCTAACTTTATTTGAATTTCAAGCGATGGGAAGTGCGTAGTACCCTCTAAGGATGCCATCTGGCAAGGTATTGTATGATTTTTCATTTGATTTCATGCCGACTTCTGCGGCGTCTATTCGGTTGCCAAGCTCAACATATTTTTTTCGATAAAAACCATACGAGAAATTGTGTAATTTCCGGAGGGATTTCTAAGATGAATTTCTCTGAAAAATATTTTGTTTTTCTTTATTATTGATATATTTTACAGTYGTGAAAATGTGTTATAGTCGATGACAAGCTGATTTTAAAGCTAAAAACATCATCCTCTTCTGAACAATTATTTGTACAAAACCAATATCTGATAGATTCGAGGCTTGTATTTAATTCAAGAAGTTTAAGAATGTTTAGATTTGTATCTTAAGTCTGAAGTCTGTGATTTCAGTTTAAAGTCATTTTTAGTCAAATTTCTACACTTTCAAAATAACTTATTCACAGATTAGAATTTTTTCTTTGGAAAGGATCACAGCTGCTGGGATCAGGATGACTACTGAATTGTGGATCAATTTTATCTTCAATGAGGGGGGGGATCAAAATAAAAAACTGTACAACTTGATCTGTTGTTCTCTTAATTTCAAAGAGTCGTACTAAAGATGACACATGGAAGGAAGCTGATCTAAAAAAAGCTCTCCAGGTACTAAATAAATTGTACTTATAAACATATAAACAATTAGATGGACAGCAGTGTGTAGGTGGGGAGAGGGAGGGGAGGAGGAGGGGCATACTKGTGCAGACGTACCTGGAAAATGTGAATCYTGCACACCCTCAACAAAAACTTAGTTTACTAGCCTTTAAATTTTGCTTGTCTAATGCACTATTATCTGATTGACTGACTGATTGACTGAGTTGTTCTATGCTAGCACCTATATTTCCATTTGCTGATAAATACTTACACTTTTATTTATTTTTTAAGGTTGATAAAAAGAAAGACAGAAGTGATGAGAAGTCAAAGTCAAGTGAAAGAAGGGTAAAGAAGGAACTGTTATAATATCTGAGTACAATGTTACACATACTTTTATTCAAATTTTCCTTTTCAGTCCGATCGTGATGAGGATAGAAGAAGAAGGAAGGAAGCAAGGGATGATATAGCAAATGGAGATGACAGGGAACGCCGTAGAAAAGAGAAAGATTCTGAGAGAGACAAAAGAAAGGACAGAGAAAGGGAAGGGGAGAGGTCAAGCAAARGTAAAGAATCTCGACGAGATAAAGAAAAGCAAAGAGAACCTGGAGGAGAGAGTAGTGGTATAGGTAGAGAAGRTAAAGGAAGTAGAGATCACGATGATAGAGARCGAAGGARAACACGAGACAAAGAAAGTGACAGAGAAAGRCGACATAGATCTAGAAGAGAACCTGATGATCATRACAAAGAYGAMGGAAAATCAAGGGATAAAGAAAGAACAAGTGAAAGAGACAAAGAACAACATAGTAGAAGACGAGAGGAGGTAAATTCACTGACATCATTTCTGTTGCTTATGTGACTGTACAGTTGTATAAGAATAGCAGTGTTTTCCTACCTTTAATTCATTAATTCATCCATTCGATATTCATTTGTGTATATATTTATATGTGTTTTTATCAATTCAATGCAGAAAGAATCAAGTAGTCAAAATAGAGATGCTGAAAGGAGAAGGTATTTCTTTTGTGTTGAGCTGCATTAATTTTGGAACTGTTTGAATTATAAACTTTTTTATTGCCATCTCAGAGAACGTGACCACCGGGACAGAAGAAAAGAGAGGGAAAATGTATGTGAACATTATTTATTGAAATAAATAGTTATAGAAATATTTAATGTGTCTTTGCATGCACTCATTTCAAAATKAGAGTGTAGTATGTAAAGACTCATAACCTCTGCACAACTTTGTCCAACCCTCCCTCTTTGGAGAAAATTTCTTCCTGGATTTTCTGTGTAGGTACAGTGTAGGTACAATACGTTGCATATCCTTGGGGTTCCTGTGTCTCACAGAGCGAAGGGAACCCATGTCATGAAGAACTGCCTAGGTGATAGTTATGTCTATCCAATATAGATATATTTTTCTGTGACCAAGTGGTTCTCGTTGAGTTCTTTCTTGGTGTTCAACATTCAAAATACCGAAGAAATAAAATAAAAACGCAATTTGTTTGGCAGACCTAACCAACGTACCGGCCAGGTACGCTGGCTAGAGCAGAACTGAATTTTATTCATGTAACGGACAATAATGCGTGATCGCTCACGCGAGATCACAAATCCAAATATGGTAAATGTCACACAACCTTGTCACATTTCTAATAGATCAAAGTGATATTATTATTGATGACAAATCTATATTAATGYTTTTTTAGGATGATTTATTGAAACCTAGAGATGAAAATAGAGAAAAAAGAAGGTAATTATTGATGATTTTTGACAAAGTGTAAAACATGGTGGAAAAATGTTTTTTTTACCTGTTTAGGGAAAGGACAAGAGATAAAGATGGTAGAGAGAGAAGAAAAGACCGCCATGATGTAAGAATTGTATGAATAAACCCWACACAATGTAAATTAAGCTGTATTCTTGATGTGTAACCTGTAACCACGTGACCAAGAATCCCCTGGGAAATAAAGAACAAAGCTATCRCCGCCACGTTGGATGAATGAACAAGAGAAACTAATGAGGAATGCTTTGTGATCTTCATCCAACATGGCGATGATGATATAACTTACACACCAAGAATGTTTTATGAACTGATTCATTTATTTATACATGTATCATACACACAGGCTTGAGTCAGGTGGTCAGATTTACATCTAGACTATTTGTCATTCAATCAGTCTTCCATTCATCCCATCCATCCATTCTTGTCTTCGTTCATGCAAATCCTTTTGTGAATAAATTTTGAAGTATTTTTATGTTTTTTTTTTCAGGATGGCTCAAGAGAAAGAAGGTCAGTACTAATAATTATATTTATAAATTCACTGCTCTGACAGAGCACATTTTCTCAAAGAAAAAGCCAATATTATTTGTATTTTGTAATCACAATAAACTATAATGGTTTGTATAGGGAGAAGTCAAGAGATGATAGAGACAGAAGAAAAGAACATGTAAGCTGATGATTGATTGATGTGATACAGTGATTATTGCTGCTTGTAACTGGTTGTTTATATGTTTTAATGTGTTGGTCTATTAATAAAATATTTCTTTCCTTTCTAGGGTGATAGTTCTAGGGAAAGAGGAAGGTAATCCTTACCATACCACAGGCTGGGTCTTTGTTAACTTCGTTGATAAGGATTGTTCATGGTTTTCATGATATTGTTATATGTTCATTGATTTCATCCTGATTTGCTAAGTTAAAAAAACCCTTTATGATTTTCAGAGATAAATCTAGGGACAGAGAAGACAGACATAGAAGAAAAGAAAAAGAAAAGGTACATTCTTTGAGGAAAACAAATGTWCAAAACTTTAGCACACTGAACAATGAACTTATATCACAATATTAACAAATTAATTAACTTATTTTTGTAAATATGTCTTCATTAGCATGAAGCAGAGAAAGAAAACAGAGCTCAACGTAGAGAAAAAGAGATGCTGGCATCCCTACAAAAGGAAGAGGTGTGTGTAGTATYACATCATTCTTTGTTAAATGCTTTAATACCATGGTACTTTCTGATAAAGAAAATGAGGTGTTTGATGCATGTGATTATTGTGCTTTTAATGCTTGCATGCTGCTTTGCATGTTCCATTGTTTGCTGTGCAGGATTTAAGATCCAAACAAAGTATAAAAGGAGAAAGRTTTAGAGCTGATACTTTAGAGACTGCTGTAAGTGATGCTGTGAACTACATGTGATTGYAAATAATTATCAAATTTAGAAAAATAAATATCTAATATGTAAGCATTTCAGCATAGAAGAAAGTTGTAAATCATCAGTATTTTATTGATTGACACCAATTCTTCATGAACTTTACCATGCAGTTTTTAATATATTAGCCTTTGTTACACCCATCATTTGCCTTTTAAACTATGGTGTTTGTGGGTCAAAGACTGGATGCAACAGAGGCTATACTGTCATGTTGTTGAACATTATTGATGAACTGTTGTTAGTAATAAAATACAGTCAGCTCTTGCTTCAACACACTGATACTCCAGACATCTAGTTATTACATACACTACTTGATGACAAATCTGCAATTYCAATAAATAAATAATTTCATATTATTATTCCAGAAGGTGTTTGTTTATTATGATAGTTGACTAATTTACTTATCCCTGTATTTATCAGGATGTTGTAGATGAAGAAGAAGTTGGGAATAAAAGACAAAATTTATCTGGTCAACAAGGATCATCTACACAAGCTGAGGAAATTGAAGAAGATGGTGTAGCTGATGATTATGATGATGACTTTGAGGTACAGTGAACRTGCATGTACAGGTTGTTCTGCSCCAGACTCTCTTTTTTTTCTACACATGAGTTTCACATCTTCCTTTCGCCCTGCCCTTGATGCATTGCACACCACCCAAATAGCAAAAGAAGTGAATGGATACAAGTTTGCGGCTGCCCAAGTTGCACCAGACAATCACTTATGGAAACCCATCAATATCATGATTTTTAATAATGAGACCTCCCTGTAAAAATTCTTAATCTGAAACCCAAACCCACCCCACTCCACTCACACMCCCCTCATTTGATAGAAGTGTGAAAGAACAGAAGGTAATGGTAATTGAAGTGGAAGTGGAGCAAGGTGAGAGTTCCAGGGAATTGATTTTGTTTTGTATTTTTCATTTAGGACTACGAGGATGATTTTGAAAATGAAGAAGAGGAACAAGATGACGGTGAAGAAGAAAATACCACAAATGCTGAGGTTAGCWATAGTCTTCTTGACGTCTGTGTAGTGTCTTCCTGTTGGGGAGTTTACACTAAGCTAACAGATGTAAAATATTTATTCATTATTATTTTATTCTTCTAATTCTAGGATAGAAATGCAGGAATGCAAGAGGTAGGCATATTTCAATATTTTCCCATGATCCTCTAGGGTAATTGAAACTTTTTATTGTTTTTCATTACAAATTTGCTATTTTCAGCTTTTAAAAGCAATCAACTTAGAAAATGAAACTGTTAGGGCGTTATCTCGTGAAGGAAGCAAACTATCAAGGTCTAGCGATGATGATTCTAAGAGAGGTAAGACCAGAATAACTTCAGAAWCTCCTTATATAATTCTGATAGTTCTGATAAAATTTGATGTGTCGCTTTCCTCCCCAGACACTCCTTCAAGYTCTGTAACACCTACMGCAAGAGGGCGAATAAACTTTGTAGCTGCCAAACAGAAGCAAATCAGTGAAAAAGTTGCGTCGCGGACGAGAAAGAGGGGGCAGGTAACGTACAATCACAGAAAATCTGGGGACTTTTTATAGTCAAYTCTCGGTCAACACGATATTACRGACGCTTGAATGCATTCTTGCTCCAAAGAAATGACCTAAAATCTCGTGGAAAATATTTATATTTTCTGCGAATACTCCACTCACAAATGCGGTCACTTTATTACGGTGTCGTAGCGTTTTCGGTACCCCTTTGTACATTGTATYCTCCGTACCCAGAACCCTAGTGATTACAGTCAGGGACCCACTTACACGAAACCGATCTATAGCAATTAAGCTCGCAAAGATTTCTCAGCAATGGTGTGCAGCATTCAGGAAATCATACGACTTTTTTTATATACAATGGTCTATTCTAAATCGATTTTATTTGCAGGAGTTGATGCATCTAATTGACTTGGACGTTGCCGTATTTGAAATGTTTGACCTTCCTCCAATGAACGAGTACGACCTGTATATCAAGAACTTTGGACGCTCAGATACTACACAGGTGAAGAGGATGTACATCCACCATAGGATACTTGGACTAGAAATAACGTGTGCATTTGTACAAATACCTCATTTCTCATTATTTCACTATTACTCTTATTTTATTTCCATTTATTTTGCTACTCCCATTATTTCATTTCCCACTATTTCACTACTCTCATTATTTCATTCTCCACTACTTAACTACTCCCATCATTTCATATACAATTATTTTATTAGTCCCACTATTTTAATTCCCATTATTTCGCTACTCCCATATTTAAACTTTTATTAATTCGCCAAGATATAACGTTGTATTTATCAGAGTCTTTGAATTTTCAGGCATATGTCCAGTGTAATGATGATAATCTTGAGAAAGAAATCCAAACAGAAGAAATCGAAACCAGGACAATGTGGACTCAAAACCCAGCTGAGACTTTTGCTGGCTGTGGAGGTAGGTCACGTGAACACTGCTTGCTTTATACTCTAAGCGTACTCGACAGTTATTTATCTAGTATGAAAATGGTGTATTCAAAACTGGTAGCTATCTCGCTAATGTAATTCATTGATTAATACTTTCACCAAGCAGTCGTTATGAAGCTCAAGGYTATTTTTTAACAAGTTACAGTTATTGTCTGTCGTGTTTTGACACTTGACGTCTAAAACAGAGACTATTTTAAGGTTGATACACCTAATTGAGATCCTCCTCTCGAACTAAAACGAAAACATTATTTAGCCCTGCCCGCTTCACCATCACAAGTATTCAGTTAGTATTTTCTTTTCTTAAACAGGAGAGGATGGAAGTAAAGATSATCTTTCAGCGATTGATAATCGACCAATTATCGATAGTATTCGGCTGRCGCGATTCTTGGAAAGCGCAGGTCAAGTAAGTATTACTATTGGTTAATGGGGGATTGGGAAAGCTTTTAGAATAACTGGAAGTTTGGGCCAGGGCTGGAGTTTTGTCAGACAATCTTGTCTCATTATCAATAATATTAATTCATTTTCATCGTTCGACTGCTAATCAGTTTCATCTTTATCAGGTTTGTCTTGTGCTACTTGAAGAAGCTTCCGCTGACAAGTCTAGTACAATGGTCAAAGAAAAGAAGGATATGACGTGTAGTGATGGGTATATACCGCTGGCTACAAAACAACCATATCTCGCAGGTGCGTGTTGGAGACAACTGAAGGAAATACCTTTTAGCAATTAGACACTAATAAATGGAAGTCTAACAGAATGAATAAATAATTTTTAATTATGTTTGGTGTAGATGCTGGTATCAAGTGAATTATTTAACTTGTTTTATGATTTCTTTCGTTTCTGAAACATATACTAGAGTAAAAAGTACAAGTAAAATGTTAGTTTTCTTGTTACTTACTTAAACGTCATTCTTGTATTTGTAGGTCGTGTCATCGAGTCAATACACATCTCACCTGTCCAGTCACACTTCCTTTTRACAGCGTATGGACCCGTAGTGAACCCAACTAAGAAAACTTCAACACAGGTCAGAATTACAACAGCTTAACACGGACAGACCTCGTTTTTGCGGGCAATTTGACCTTTTTTATCAAGGTGGTCGGTCTGTGATGTGTTTTTCGCTATTCATCCCAAAACTACGTTGATATTTGAAATTTTAAAATTAGGCTGGTATCAATTATTTGAAATTGTYTTCTTATTTTGTAATTATAGGACATCGATGTCATAAGTACAAAAAGTGTTGTCTGTCTGTGGAATGTGAATGAACCTTCACAGCCTCAAAAGTAAGTGACAAAGTTTTGATTCAATCTTAGAATTTTTTTTCGTAATGACGTCATGTGTTTTATTTGGCGAAATGCATCATGGGTGGTATTGATAAAAGAATCAAAATGGCGGAAGTCTTATGAAAACTATTGAGGAAGACGTTTCTTGCGAAATTAACACTATCGAAAGTCAAGAATCCTTTAGAAAGAGAGAGAGAGCAAGGCGAGAGATTGTAATTCCCATACAACACGGACGCGAATGTTGTAAACGACTTATAAAACTCCAACACAAATTAACATGAATTACAGTGAGATAAATGACGAAAAATGACAAATAAGGTAACTGCTGAGTTTAGTCCCTATTAAGCATGCGCAATTTACTGCAACACAGAACATTTTGAATAATTATCCATCCCACATGGAAAGCAAGCCATCTGTTGCATAAGCCAGTTCTGTTATCCGTCTTTGATTGCTTCAAAACCTAGTGAAGGTCTATGATGCGACACTAAAACTGAGACCTTTGCTAGTGTTGGGTTGTCTCAAGGTGACGACCGTGTTGTAAATCTTATACAACACTAGTGTTGTATCACAGTGTTGTATCTGATTTACAAGTTCAATCACCTGATGAAATGGACAACCCTTATTGGAGYAATAGCTCATGCATTATTAATAAGTTTTATAAAAATATATAAAAGATCTGTATGATTCTTGTTCGAAAAAAAGCCTGAAACAGGAACTGAAAAAAAAACACGACTG